TTGTAATATCCACTTTATTACTTTCCTATAACTTTTTACTATAGTTCAGTTTGTTTTGTTGTTGACCAAGAGATTATCAGAAGGAGTTTTGTTTATTTTTTTTTATTTTTGCCAATAGTAATTATCTTATATTTATTTTAGTTATTTTAGTTTTTTTGCAATTTTACAAGAGATTTATTTATATATACTTTAAAAATTTTGTATTCTATGATCTTGATTATTATATATTTGAGTTCTTTAATTATTTTTTTATTTATGCATTTATATATAAATTCTTTATATATAAAATTTATTTTAATTCTGCTATTTGCAATTTTCTATTTGTTTTTTGTTTCTCTGATACTTGTTTATTATTTTTTTGGTATTAAGATAACCTCTTGGTCATCTTTTATTCAATTATAAGTTAACTTTACAGTATATTATAGCATATTATATATATATTTGAAAAGTATATACTAGCCACATATACAACTTTTGATTGTCTATTTAAGTAGTTTGCTTATTACTAAGTTTTATACTAGTAAAATTATAATTATTTATTTAAATTACTAAATAATTGTATTTAAAAAATGGTTTAATTTAGTACAAAGTACTGAAAATAGTACGCCTAAATCCATGCAATTAAATAAAACTCTAAAAAACCTAAAACTATAAGCTCTTATCCGTCAGCTCCCGAAAATGGTTTTTTATTTAATGAACTATTTTAATTTCATCAAATAGCTTTGGCATAAAATTTTTTTTAATATCGAACTCTAGTCATTAATTTTGAAATAACACCGCACACAGCAGTACTTAAATAACAATTTATGCGTTATCTGGAAATAACGCTAAATCTTTCCTCTTATATAGTTTAACAATACTAATCATTTAGAATTCACTCTTTTTTAGGAATATTGAATCTAGATTTCATTTTATCATAACCTAGTACAGGGTTTTCTGTCACTGGTTCTAAAGGAAGTGTTATTACCGTTGGAAGTTCGGTCGTGTCCGGCATTTTGGAAATTGTCGTTCTAGATCTACCATTAGAACGTGATTTATGACCCACCTTAGGAGTTTCTTTACCAGTACGTAGCCTCTTTTTGTTTGCTTCTGTTTCTGCAAAAGTAACGCGTCTTTTTGACTGATTTGGAGAGCTTTCCGTATCGACATTTTTTATGTCGTCAATCTCAGTAACCTCATCATTCGACTGCTCCGGAAGCGGACTATCATCATTGAATTCTGCGCAACTATTTTGCAAAAGAGCTAAATCAAAATAGAGTAAATTAATATAAAAAGTTATATTATTGGTTTGTCAAATTCATTATAGTGACTTACCAATTTTAACATGCAACTCGTTATTTTCCTTTCTTAATTTGTCATTATCATTTGTTATGTAATCTGAATTATCAATTACCAAAATTAGTTTTAGGGATACTTATTCGTCAACACGCGGTAATATTTTCTTTAAAACCCACTTAATGTTCCTTGCAATTCATTTCGTGCAGTTGCAATTACATCACATTCTGACTTTATTTTTTCTGAAATAGAATAAAATCAAAAATCGACCCATAAATGACAACAATCCAATAATAATCAGTTTACCAACTATTTTAGTCAACTCATCGATCTTTTTAGTTAATGTCTCATTCTCGCTTGATAATAGTGAATTTATTTGTTGAGATTCCATGTATTTCTTAGCGAAACAGTCTTTTTGCCGTTTTAGCAGAGAAAATTTTTCACAGGCAATCTCATACAACACTTTGAGTTTATTGAATTCTTCTTCTAAATCGGAATTTTCTTCAGTCAAATTTTTTATTTCTTGTTGCAATCGCTTTAATTCAATAGTCAAAAGTCTATTTTCTAGGGTAAGTATTTCAAGGGAAGCCTGAGCGGGATCTAAAACTGGTTCCCAATCCTTAAACTATGATTATAGATTAGAAATTTTCGAGACAAGAAATATTTAATTATTGAAAACTCACATCCTTTTCGAAATCAGTAGGCATGGTATAAGCAGAGTCATTGAAAATTTTGGAGAATAGGTGATCTTCGTGATTGCGAACACGAACGCGTTTACTAATTTTCCTCAAGATCCTATTGGCCATCAGTGAATCACATTTCTGATTGGCCGAAATCGATGATCTCTAATAACAGTCAGAGAATATGTCACGCCTGTTAATATATAAGTGCTATATTCTTTTTTTTT